GAGAAACAAACTGAGGGTTCTAGAGGGGAGGGGGGTGGGGGGATGGGTTAGCCCAGTGATGGGTATTAAAGAGGGCACGTACTGAAGGGAGCACTGGGTGTTATATGCAAACAATGAATCCTGGAACACTACATCAAAAACTAATGATGTTGTAATGTATGGTGATTAACATAACATAATAAAAAAAATAAAAGCATATGTTCACACATGCACAAAAACTGTATACATGCAGTTTAGTAGCATTATTCATAATATTACCAAAAGTGGAGACACCCCAAATGTCCATCAACTGATGAATGGATAAAATATGGTGTCTCCATACAATGGGATTGTTATTATTCAACACCAAAGTGGAATGAAGTACTGATACAGACGACAACATGGACAAACCTCAAACTCATTACGCTATGTGAAAGAAGCCAGTTGCAAAATATCTTACATTGTATGATCCCATCTATAGGAAATGTTCTGGACAGGCACATCTATAGGGATAGAAAGCAAATTAGTAGTTGCCTACAGCTGTATGGAGCGTAGGGGATGGAGAGTGGCTAACGAGTAAGAGGCTTCTTTTTGGCATGATGTTCTGAAATTAGACTTGGTGATAATTGCACAAATCTGGACATATACTAAAACCCATTGCATTGTACACTTTATTTTTTAAAGATTTTATTTATTTATTTTAGCATAAGTCGGGGGGGAGGGACAGAGGGAGAGGGAGAGAATCTCAAGCAGATTCTGCACTGAGCACGGAGTCCTATGTGGAGCTTGATCTCATGAGCCTCGAGATCATGACCTGAAACTGCTCTTGTAAAGGTGACTGAAGTTTTCTGTAAAAGTTGGGTAAGGTTATATTGCTGAACAAAGCAGTATAACTACCCAGTGGCTTGTAAAAGTGTGTATCTCCTTCAATAGTTCAAAAGTGTGTATCTCCTTCTAACAGTAAATGACTGGGTAGAGGAGCCAACTTTGCTCATTACAATCCTTCCAGAACCAAATTTTGTTGCAAGCAACTGCTCCTACATTCCCTACTGCAATGTCATAATCTGCATGACTGTAGCCTCATCACTGCCACATCTAGGTTCTAGTTGGCTGGGAGGGAGGAAACCCATCCAGATGTCTTCTATTCTAGACCTAGGAATGGCAAACAAAAATTCTGCTCACAATATTAGTGAGAACTTAATTCAATTCAATACCTAACTAACTACAAAGGAGACTGGGACAGGCAATCTATGAGTAGTCATGTGCCTGCATACAATGCTATTGCTCTAAAGGGAAGAGATTTTGGCAGGTATCTATTAGAACCCTCCACAGTGACCATCCTCTTAATCCAATCAACCATTTTAACGTCCATTTTTTTGGGGGGGGGTTCTGAAGCATTTACTACCATTGATCTTCCTCATCTCCTTGAAATGCTATTTGCTTTTGGTTTCATTATTCTGAACCCAGGGCCTTCTTTGTCTTTTTAAAGATACTTTATTTCCTCTTTCCTCTAATGAAGGTGTTTTTTTCCAAGTTCTATGCTGAGCCTCTTCAATTGTTACCTGACATACTTTTGCTTGGTTATCTTAGAGTTCTCACGGTTTCGGGGCGCCTGGGTGGCTCAGTCGTTAAGCGTCTGCCTTCGGCTCAGGTCATGATCCCGGGGTCCTGGGATCAAGCCCTGCATCGGGCTCCCTGCTCCGTGGGAAGCCTGCTTCTCCCTCTTCCACTCCCCCTGCTTGTGTTCCCTCTCTCGCTATCTCTCTCTCTGTCAAATAAATAAAATCTTAAAAAAAAAAAGTTCTCACGGTTTCAATTACCGTATATATGCTGGTGAAACCCAAAGTCCATATATACCCCAGTTTATATGCTATGCTTCAGTTATATATGTACATACATACTACTCTACATGGGCACATGCATGTGAGAACACACATACACATAGCCCAGAGGCACTTAACTCAATATCAGCATATCCAAAATTGACTTCATCTTTTTTCACTTCAATCTTTTTTGTTCCTCAGTGTTCCTTGTCTCAGAAAATGACATGACTGCCCATCCAGTTGTCCAATCCCGAGGTGTGTTCATCATCCTCACGTCTTTCTTCTTCTTCTCCCCATGCAACCCATCAGTCACCAGATCCTAAGTCTCTTTCTAATCATCCCTCTTCTTCCAGCCACACCAGCATTACCCTTAACTGGGCTACCATTATCTCCTAACTGGTGTCTCTGATTCCAGTCATT